TTCTCTTACAGCACATGAATTAACACTTTATAAAACGTTCAGGAATTTAAAATCATTATAATCAGAGCTCTCATATTAGGTCAGCTCTAAAGCCGAAAACTGTCCCCTGAGCTGCTTGCATTGTTTTCTCTGAAAAGTCATTTTGTATATTTTAACTTTTGTATAGCATCAGGAATTCGACCCAGTGCTTCCAGCTGAGATAAGCTCAAGTCTTACAGGAGAAAAATTAGTGATGGCCTGAGTTAACGTGTGGGCTTCAGCATTTCTTGCACTGTCTGAGGCCAGGACAGTTCACATCCGTCAAGGACAGTGAAGAGCCTTCCTTTGTACTACAAAGTATAAGGTATTGTAGAGAGAAAAAAGCCCAAAGCAGCATCTCTTGAAATAAACAACAACACAGAAAAAAAAACCCCAAAGCAAACATCAAATTCTGTTATCACTCATTTGACTCCATCTGCACTGTGTAATGTATTTTTAAATGCTTTTATACAACTAGACTTTTATAATGCAACATACTTTTAAAAGCTTTTTTCAAATCACTGCAATTGGCTATAAATTCCTCATGGAAAAACAAAAAGTAGGTGGTTTTAAAATTAATTTAAAAATAATTAAATTAGAAAAAAAATCCCCAAACCCACAAGAAATAAACCCAAATGCCTACTTTGCTTTATTCTCTTCTCTGCCCAGACGGACATACACAGATTCTGTAACAATAAACAGATTTAGCCTGCCCACATATTTTGCATTTTCAAGAACTTTTACACAAAAACAGTGACTGTGTTACACAGAACAACAGGTATAAATCACATTTTACAACTATCTATTGGGGTTTTTTGCACTTTTATAGCGTAGTGAAGCATTGATGAAGCTCTTTGTAATTTGCTGCCAAAACAGACTTTGCACATGGAAATTCAGACAAAGCTGAAGTCAGGAGCTGCAGAAGTGAATGTCTGGAAATCACAGCTTACTTCCAAGGCTATCTCATGGGGTTTTCAGGTGTATTTTCCATTCAAGACAATGAAACAGCTAATGGTTAAATTCTGAATGAACCTCTGAAAATCTAGTTAATAAATCAGGCCAAAGATAGGAGCCTTCCAGAGGGATACCACCATTTCCCTTTTCCCAACAGAAAAAGTCTGCCCAAAGTAACTAAAAAAATATTATTTGCAGTTCAAAACACTTTCAAAGCTTTTATTCTTGTGATGCATTTATTAATAAGGATGATGTTTCCTCATTTCTTGCTTCGGAAGGAATGCATCACACAAAATGGCACAATAGGAAAAAGTCTGGTCAACCATCACCTGTAAAATTGTTAACCAGTAAGATTGCAAACAACATAAAAATCTTTTTGTGGAGATACCTCTTAAAATCCAGCTTGATGCCTTTATTGGTGTTGACCATCTGCGTCAGCCACTCCTGCAGTGTGATGTCACTGTCTGTGTCAGGGGGGTGAGCCAGGATCGGGTCTCCCTTCCCTCCCTCCCCACCACGGAGGAGAACATCAGCTTCTACCATGTGCACATTGCCTGGGGGGGATAAAAACTGAAGCTCTAAGGTGCAAAACCAACAGTTTCAGTGTCTGCTTCACAGCAACAATTACTCAGCAAGTCTTCCCACACCAGCCTGTGTTCACTTACTCCACACAGGCCATCCCCAGTGGGAACTGCTGTCTGTGACATGAAAGATACATTTCTCTGGTTACTCAACTCACGAACTCTTTAAAGATTTACAGGCATGTCAAAATTGATTTTTGTAGATACATTTGGCTGAGTAATCACACAGGGTTTTTTTCATCAGAGAAACAGAAAAATGGACATCCAGCATGTGAATCCACTCTTGTTAAATTTCAAATCTCTTCCTCTCAAAACAGGGTTCCAGACAGACACTTTCAGAGTAAAGATGAGCACAGGATTTAACACTGGCAGAGACTGAGCACTCCCCTTGTCTCATTCTCAAACCTGACCCGCCCATCTCTGTCAAAATTTTAAAAACAAGTCAGCCAGCCAGGAAAACGAGAGCTGAAACACAAGACAGGCGAATGGGAGTCTTAGGAATGCTGCAAGCTCTAGAAAACAGCTTTATATAACAAGTCTGGACAATGCTACCAGCTTTGCAGAGAGTCCAATAAATACAGTTCCTTAGACTAGAATACTAATAAAAAAGCTAGTAATGATATTCAAAAGAAGGCACATTGCATATGGAATTACATAAATATTTCCCAAATATTCATATAAATTCACATAAAATTCCCTGCTGCCCAGACTGGGGCATCACGGATTTTCTCATCCTACAACTCCCTGACAAAAGGGTGGAGCCAGTGGGGATTGGGTTCTGCTCCCAGGGAACAAGGGACAGGACGAGGGGAAATGGCCTCAAAGCTGTACCAGGGAAGGTTTAGTTTAGGCCTTGGAAGGGGCTGTCCAGGGAGGTGGTGGAGTCCCCATCCCTGGAGGTGTACAGAAGGTGTGAAGATGTGGCATTCGGGGACACGGTTTATTGGGTCCGGTGGTGCACGGACGAAGGCTGGACGCGACGGTCCTGGGAGGGCTTTTCCAACAGTAATGACTGAGCAGGGCAGGAAAGGGAAAGGAGAAAGAAGGAAGGGGAACGGGGAAAGCGGAAGGGCCGGCAGGGCCAGTCCCGCACTCACTCCGCGCAGCCGCGGCCGCCCGGGCCCTGCTGTTGGCGGCGTGGAACCAGCGCACGGCGGCCCCGTCCCGCGCCGTGATGCACCCGGAGCGGAGGAAATGGTCCACGGGCCACTCGCTCCAAGAGCCTGCGGGGACATGGGGGTCCCTCAGCACCGCCCGCACGGGGACGACAGCGGCGGGACCTCAAGCACCGCCGTGGAATCCGCCCCAGCCCCCGCCTGGCTCCTGCCACCGCGGGGCCCAGGCGGTGGAGCTCCCCCTGTCTCCGCTCCTCACCGGCGGCTGATGGAGCCCCGTCTCCCCTGTCCCGCTTCCGAAGAGGGCCGAGCCCGCCAGCGTCCGCCACGCGGTCTCGCTACACCCGCGGTCCGCTGGCCATTGGGGCCCGGCCTATCCGTTTCCCGCCCGCGGGGGTTGCCGCCGGTGTCCGGCACCGCCGCCAACTAAGCGGGGCGTCGGACCGGGGGGCGGGGCAGGGCAGGTTTAGGAAGGGAAGGCTCGGGAACGGAATGTTTGGGAAGGGAAGGGACAGCACGTCCGGGGCAGTGTGCCTGCAAAACGGGGAATATTTCAACGTTACTCTAAATCAGGATGTTCTTTGCTGTTTGGTGTCCACGTACTTTCCTGATCAGCAAGGAAAGAGACCTGGTTAGTGGGACAGGCAGCAGCTGCATCCCTTACAGGAGGACATCCTGGAACTCACCAGCCGTAAGGGCACAGTAAAGGGTGTCCTCAGGGCAAGAGAACACAGTCGCAAGGTGTGCCAGGGAAGGCTGTACATCAGCAGGAACTTCCCTCTGGAAAGGGTGGTCAGGCATTGGAACGGGCTGTCCAGGGAGGTGGTGGAGTTCCCATCCCTGGAGGTGTCCAAGGAACGACTGAACGTGGCCCTCAGTGTTCTGGGCTGGGTGACAAGGTGGAGATCAGACACAGGGTGGACTCGATGGTCTGGGAGGCCTTTTCCAACTTAATTTGATGCTGTGTGAAATGAAGATGTTAATGTGTGCCTATGTACACGTTGCTAATTGGCAAAATGCTCAAGGTCTGTGTATCCTGTGGCTGAACTGTGTTCATTATAATACTAAAACCCACACTTACAGGCCAAAAAAGACCCAGCCCAGGTGCAGACCCTTCCCCTGAGCACATGTAGAAGTTGGCTGGCGTTATGTAACCTGTATGGAAATGACCGATTAATCCTGATAGAGGGGCTGTGTTTGGGAAGTTACTAATTCTGGATTTCTGTGTATAAATGATGGCACAGAAAGTCCAGTTGGTGTGCTGGATTTGTGGAACACACTGCAAACCCGTGGCCTGTGAAGTTCTGAAATAAATATTCAGTGTCTCTCAGGTGTGTATTGGCTTGTTGCACACCGGATGACAAATCAGATTTTGTGGACAATATCAGGAGTTCCCAGAAAGCTGCAAAGACAGGACACATCCACCCAAATCATGTCTTTTTTCCTGCTTTATTATAAATAAGAGACAGAGAGTGCAAGCACTGTAGTTAACTTTATTGATCATTACTGAAAAGGGGTTAGTAGAGGGTAAGTGCCAAGAGACAGCTGTTGGTTTGGGTACCTCTGCAGACACCCGTGGGGTGCAGGGTGCTGCTCACAGCCACCCCAGCCCCACCACAGCCTGGAAATGCTGCTTGGCCTCGAGGGCCCAGGGGCAGCTTGTTTTCAACAAAGGCATGTTTTGTTCCTGCTGTGCATGGTGTGAGTCCAGCCCTTCTCCAGAAGGGCAGTATCTCTGAAGAAGTCAGCACAAAGAAGCTGAAATGCAGCTCAATTTCCTCCAGGGTAAGATCTTGAAGCCTGAACCCTTCTAGCACCAGTGTGTTAAAGCACAGGTAACAGAAGAGCAGATTAGGTTAAAGGTTAATTTACAGATCGTTTTTGATACAAAAACATAAAATATCCCCTATTAGCATCAAGATGGCATCAAAATTTTAATACTTTCATTATAAAATTGTACCAGCATTTCTACTGAAAACAATATAGATGTTGTATATATTTAGTTTTGGTTCTGCTCCTGATAAACAGTCCTGTGGCAGTTACCAAACCTGCATTGTGGTTCCACGAACCTCAGTACAAATCACATGCATCACAAATACATAAATAGATCTAAGTGACCCAGTATCAAAAATACATACTATGCAAGAACCTCAAGTATACTAAAAATCCCCAAATGGTTGGGGTTGGAAGGAACCTTAAGGACTTCCAACACCCCTGCCATGGGCAGGGACACCTTCCACTAGAATCAATCTGTTCATGAAAATTCACACTTAATACATCTATTCTCCCTGAAAGTAAAGGTGGCAAAAGCAGCAGACAGGAGCAGAAAAAATACTGCAGAATTCTTGTCTGACTTACTGCTACATGTAGATTATATCAAGGCTAATCTTTTTTTTATAATCCTTGAAAGGTCAAATTGTATCAGGACTTCTAAACCACAGTAAAGGAAAAAAAAGAAAGCACTTTTTATAAAAATAGCATCAATTTAAGTTAGCTAAAACGTTAAAAATACAAGAAAGATATCAGTTATTCTATAAAACATTAATGCAGAGCATATGTTTCTGAAGCACCAGCATCAATCCCCATGTTAAGGAGCTCACCCACAAAGTCTTCAACACACCTGCAGAGTTCGCCCTGCCCTGACACGTGGGGCTCACAGTCAGCTACAGAGGGTCTCGTGTCTGCACCTCAGAGGGCAGGGGAACAGTTCTGGGCCAGCTTTGCTTCAGTGTTCAGCTCCTTTGCAGGTGGGAAGCACTTGCTGCAGAGATTACATTTAACCATAGCAACTCGTAGTAACACACTTATCTGAGGTTGAGGCAAGGCAGTATGGCTTGGAGTTACACTAGGTATAGTAAATGCTACAGCTGTGTAAAGATTAACAAAACCTGCCCTCTTCTGCACCTGTATTAAGTGTAAACTTTCAGGACTTTAGGAACATTACAAACTACAATTCCTTTGTGGTAGAGTAACCAGAGAGGATCTGAGAGGGTTAAAAAAACAGTTTGAAAAGCTATTAAATGCAACAGGTTTAGAAACTTTAACATTGTTAGTGTTTGTGGCATTATAACTTTGGTGTTCAGATCTAGCAAATCAGTATATTGCCTGCCATCAGCCTTATCAAAACAAGTGTTCTGTAATGAAAAATATTAATTCCATTTTCACTGGTAGTGTGGTAGGATCTGACATTCCACCATGAATCACAGGAATCAGCGCACTGTCCAAGTCATTCAGATAGTTCTGTGGAAGAAGATGACCTCCAGATCCAGCTAAGTATTCAACCTAGGAGAGAAACACATTAATATTGATATTAATTAACACTTTTTATATTAACAAGACAACACTACAAGTGTAGTATCTCACTAAAAGAATATCTCAACTGGCATGAAGTGAGAAACTAGTCACTAAAGCAGCTTCTTCACCTGGGGTATGGCAAAACATTTAAAACATACAGGGAGAGATCCACGGTCTGTGCAAGGGAAGATACTTCAGTGGAAATGGGGAGTCTGCAATGAAAGTTGAAAGATTACCATATCTGAGTCAATGGAAACTCTCAGGCCTATCTTATTCATTCCATTACTTTTCAAGGTTTTGAGGTGAGGGCAGAGAGCAGTGCTGCAGGCAGTGGCAATCTCTTTAGCAAACTGGTGAGGAACAGCACTGGAGAGTTCATTGTCCTTCACAAAATAGCAAACCTGAAACCAGAGAAAGGGTAAGAACAGTGAGCCGCCTGGTTACATCCCAAAGTAAGGAAAAAGAGTAATTCAGTGTGCACATAACACAGCACAGAGCAAGCTCTAGTGCCTTATTGGCTGGGAAACTACCCAAGTGTTTCAGCTATTCAATCACAACACCTCAGTGCCCATGGGAATGCCTGGGCTATGCATTTACAGAGCTGTCAATGCTAACAGACTTCTAGTCTTTTTCAGGGGAGAAAAATGAAAAGTATGTAAACTCACCCAAGAGCCACAGAGAACATTCTGCCTATCAGCGTGGCTACACATCAAAGCAGCCACATTTTTTTATAGTATCACTTCGTATGATCCACTTTACCCCTTAACTATTCAAAAAGTACCAAAAAAGGCTCAAGAACAATGTAATTCACTAACTTCAGTGCACTTCATAACTTTTCCCTCTCTTTCGAAGTCTCTGCCTTGTGGTGTTTTTTCACTCTGAGTTCCTCCAATTGATTTTCCATCTACTGGGCTTAAAATTCTACGGAAGACAATAGTATAATTAATAATTAAAACAACATTTTATGGTTTAGATTGAGTCATTTTTATGAAATACTGTTTATCCATCCTTACAACAAAATACAATACAGGGCTTGCATCATGAAAATACAGCTGCTACAAAAAGGAATAAACTAAAAGCACTTAATATAAAGCCAATCTTGCAGGTTTAAGAAGCTATAAACCATTTAAGGTATGGACCACTGTTTTTCAATAAAAATACTTTACATTAATTTCAGGAAACCAAAGGCAAAAATCTGAACATTGGAAAGATGAATTCTCTAAGATGTTCTGCTTTGGCAGTACATTTACCCTTTGTTTGTTTTCTCTTCATTTTCTACCCAGCAAATATCCACGTATTCTTTTACATCCTCTGTATCCATTTTTCCACAGGTAATTCTGAAGTCTTTCTTGTCTCTCAATGCCTGACGTAGGCTTTCCATTGTTTCTCGTGTTATTTGTACCATTAGTCCATCTAGAACAAATCCAGTTAAAATCCCAAATTAACTACAGGAAGAGCAGCACAGCTTTTTAGTAGAATCATGGCTTAAATTCTAGTGGGATCAACCCTCCCCGACAGCTAATTAATAAAAGCACAAAAGGACTCCATCCCCCAACTACAGTGTTAAATGTTACATGAAAGAGGAAGAAAACCTTTTTGTCAACAGAACTAAAGCTAAAACATCATTCTTGGACTAATCTTAGAATTTTTTTTCATTTATGTGCCAATATATGTATTTGAGCAATATGGCAATGAAAACAGGAAAGACTTGAACTGACTAAAGAGAGTTAAAACTAACATGTATTTTTTTACCCAGCATTTTGTTTGCAACAGGTTTTCTATAAAGTTAAGAAACCTTGAAGAGTTTAGCTTACTGAGGCATAAAACCTTACGCAAGACTGCTGCTTTTATTTTTTGTGTAAGTTCTCTTAAGAGGAAAATACACAGGACAAAATTCTTACCTTCAACTATACTGGATTTAGCTAAAAATCCTGAAGATGTTTTTAAGGCTCCATTAAACACCACAAAACTTGCACCTGTAACTAGAAAAAGTAGGAACAAAGTGAGCACCACTTCGTGTCACTCAAGTCAGTCACTACTAACATTCCACTAACACTCCTTTTTAAACACATTTCAGTGTGCCACCAGAGTTGCATTCTCCTTGCAGCCTAACAGTGAACTTACATTTCTGCTCTAGAAATGTGATTTTTCTCTACTAGACCACTTACCTTTCCTGGGATGTCCCGTGGCACTGACTGCCTGTGTGTGATAGAGGCCATGCTTGTTCTGCACACACACCAGGTGAGAATCTGCTTCGGTATTAAAACTTGCTCCAATGCTAATTACATGTTCATTAGAAGAATTTATGACCTTCATTATCTGTCAATACAAAATTTGTCATTACACTGACAAATTGCACTCACTATTCAAGTAGGTTTTTTATTTTGGTTTGGGTTTTTTTTTTTAAAGTCTTAAGCAACACACCATGACCAGGAAATCTGTATGAGAGAATCCCTGAAAATACTAAAAGATTTGGAAGAAACTGCTGATTTTTAAGCACTTACCAGTTATCCTAAATCTCAATTCATCATTATTCACCTTCCAGCATATCCAGGAAGGAAGGATGTGTGCTCAGGTAATTTTATGCTCTCTCCCTTACATATTTAGGTCAGTATAAAGTTCAGCGAGGTTTTTGTAAAGAAGAACTGATGGTAAAGGTGTGACTGGTATTATATGAAAAATAATGATTAAAGCAGCTTGGATTAGAAAGCTAATCGAGATGGGTTTACTCACCTCATTATACTTCTTTAGGGGTATTTTAATACAGCTTCTACCCATTTCCACATGAACAAAAAGGTTGTCTATGGTATGCAAAGTATACTGATAATTTCTAAGGTCCTATAACAGACAAAGTATTTACATTAGGAGACAATTAATTATTGTTTTCTTATCTTTTACCAAAAAATCACCTAGATAAAAGTTCTTTACATACATCTCTAGGACTTCTAAAAAGCAATGACATCAAGAGTGGCTAAAAACTTAGTAATCCCTTTTTTCCTACTGGGATGTATGTGACAGGTACCTTAGTGAATGTATTAACAAACTCATAGGATGACAAGGTCAGTCTATCTACCAGTGGGTTATTTAGATTATGGCTACTTCATACACATTACGATTTTACTCTTTTAGGGAAGGAAAACCTTCAACACCCTCCCTCTCTGACAGAAAAGTGAAGCATGGAAGCCATCATCTAGAGGAGTTTGTTTCCAGGCTCACACCCTGTCCCCTACAGCTCTAACTGGCTGACCTATAAATTGAATACACTGCACCATTTCTAACACCTTTCTCTGACATCGCCCATCATCTCATCCACTTCTGCAAAATTCTGTTTTTTTCCCCGAACAACAACATTAGGTATGAAGTGGTCTCATTTGCCTTCACTAGCTCAGCTGAAAAAAAGGTATAAAAAGGCTCTTTTCACCAGCTGAGCCAGGCAATCAGTACCTTCCTCATTCAGCACAAGTAGGGCATTTACAAACACATCTCAGTGCACTCCAGGTTGCCATGGAACAGGCATAGTTTGAGCAACAGTAAGGATGTACATCACAGGTGCCCTTTGCCTCCATTAGTTACCATGGCCTCAGTCACTTGTATGGTGAGAGGTTTTGTACGATCTTCAACTGAGGATCTGCATCACAGGTGCCAAGGCACCACCAAGAGATTATTTTGCAGTCATTTAGTGATAAAAACTTGTGCCAAGGAGAACATATTCCCATTGCCTGCTTCAAGCTGACACAGCTGTGAAGGGGAAGGCCAGTAGAATTCCACAGAACCCCCCATCATCATCAGCACAACATTAAGATTCCTCAGAGTCTGAGAATGCAGTTAGACATTGGTACTGTCATGTCACCAATCATGCTGGGAGCTGGCTCATGGAATTACAGTGTAAGATTCCTACACTAACAAGGAACATGCTGGTTTTCAGATGGTGCATGTCCTCTGACTGGTTCCTTAAGCAGTGACCTGGACACCAATGTCAGAGAAAAGGCTTCAGTTCCATCTCAGCTCTGATGGCCAGGGGACTCTCAGGAGAAGATGCAGGGATTGCCTAAATAAGATGTGCAGCTCTTTCCATGGCCTTACCCTTAATGCTGGGATGAAAAGTGCTGTGAGCTCTATTGTAAGTATTAGAAGAGGAACACAGACCAGAACATTCCCAGCCAGGAACACAGGCTTACTGGAAGTTTAAATCAAACAGAGGAAAAACTTCCACAGGGAATGCCATGAATTCCAGGCTTGACTTAGTCTTATGATTTTACCAAAAACTCCTTCACAAAAGACAGTCAGGCTGGTTGATTGTGGTAAGTAAGTCCTCCTACAGTTAGTCCACAGCATCTGCCTGTCAAGTCTTTCTTTACATTTAATATTGCCAGACTTAAGACCAGAATTCCTGCACCACACTGATGCTTGGAAGAGAAAAATGTACCTCAACAATGATTACTACCAGCTTCAATGCAAATGTCAACATTTCTCTCAATCATTTAAAGCCATTCCTCACTACCAGAACTGATGTATAACAATACCAGGTGAAACAAACAGCTTTCCTAACTCACTCACTCTCTGGGTAAGAAAGTTTCAAGTCAAGTATGAAGAACAAAAACATTTGCTTTTTAAATTTACCAAAATCCACTGCTTTCAAGGTTCAGAATTTTGAAAATATTTTACATAATTTAAATTACAAGAGGAAGATAATAAAACATTGACTCACAACAAGCAGATTCATAATTGTGTGCCCGATCTCTCCAAAAAGTGGCTTCCGGTGCCTGTAACTCACCACAGGAGTTGGATAGGCTGGGAACAAGGAAGGAAAAAGGGCATGTTTACCTATCAACAACTATAAAACTTCCTAATCCAAGTATTTATATAGTATATTTTCAGCTATAACCTGTGTTTCTTAATCTCATTATCTGACCAGCCAAAGCCAGGAGAGCCCCTCTCTCATTCTCTGTCATGGGCTGTCCTTCAGCCACCTGGTGATTTCCCCATCCATGGTTAAATCCTACAAAACTGACCAAAAAACCAAACCACAACGAGTAGTTTGGTAGGAGAAAGAAGAACAAAGCAGCTACCATCCTCATCACCACAGAGACATGGGCCTGGCCAGAAGTGATCCATTGTGGACTCCAGAAATCCTTGAACAAGCCAGTGGTACATACTGATGGACTTGTGGCTAGTAGAATGGTGGGGTCCTGCCTTTTCACAGGCCTAGATGTTTCCGATGTATTAATAAATACCCTTGTAGGTAATCAAAGCTGTACTCAGTTTATGAAGCAGTAATATTTTGCCAATATATTTAATTTCAGTAATTTAATTAAAAAAAACATTCTGTCAGAGTTGTAAACTGGGCTTTTGAATGTCCCTTCAAACGTTCTTCCTACAACAAAAAAAGTCAGATATTTTTATATCAGAGTTTTTTTAACATCAGTTTTGGCTTCTTAGCATTCTCATCAGCTAAGAAAAAAACTAATTAAATTAAGGGAGTCAGTCCAGCAGGACAGTGAACATTCCCAAGTGTCTCAGTAGGTGGCTTCCCATATCAGTCTTACCCAGGTGTACCATAAAATACTGCAAAGATGATTTTAAATATTTTACTTGTCTAAAAATCCCTTGTATTTTCCAAAAGGAACTTGACATTTATATAGCTACTGAAAGTGTTAAAACTTACCTCCGTATTCTGCTCCCAGTCTCAACATTAAACGGATTGGAAACACTTTAGCCCAGGGTATTTCCAGCTTATGGATGAGAATGCCACAAAGAAAAGGGTTATCCGGTAGAATCTGATCATCAAGTTTCTGAAAAGTTGGTGAAACAAACAGGAATCCTCCATGCTCTTTGTTGCTGAGAAAGTTTTCAGTAAAAGTAATGTTTTCCATGTTTCTTACAAACCTTCCTGTAGAAAGAAGGACAGAGAGCTTGCACATCTGGGTCAGCCAAACATTAGTGCCAAGAGAACTGTTCTAACCAGTGACCTCTGACAGACTTGCAGGTCTGTGGTGGATTTCAGACCCTTCCTGAAGTCTGTCAGACATCTAAATCCACAGAATAAGTGCTCTGTATTTTGTAACTAAATGAATTTGAATACAAAACTAGTTTTACTTCAAACAAATTACAGAAATCCTGAAGTGTTCAATGTTCTGGCACACGACAGTTGGTGAACTTCCATCAACAGACCTAAAATATTTACATAAATGAATACTGCAATTCTACAAAGAGCATGCCAGATGCTCTAAACCACAGACCCAAGGGCTTATAGGCAGGATCTCCAACACAATGTAACTAAACAACAAGAAGAGAGCCTGCAAACAGGATATGTACAGAAGTATAGGAAACAAATAAACTTAAATTCTTTTATTTCTGTTATTTAGAACCCAAGCCTAACACTGCAAGGTCTTTCATCAGAATCATTAGACACTTACAAATACTTCAAGAAAAATTACATATCAACATTTAACTTGAAAGATCTGCAAGAATATGCTATAAAATAAAAAGTTGGACATTAAAAATTACACACCTTTCATTGCATCCTTATAGATCTCAAGAAATAATTTGAACATTTCACTGGGGAAAACATCTTCTTCTGGCAAACGCTGTAACAGAATGACAATTTCTGCCTGACCCAAACCATGCAGTCCATTGGTTGAGAAGCACCAGCACCTTTCTGAGGAACCTTTAAGAAGATAAGACACCACAGTAATGCTGTTTGAAAAACAAAGCTGGATTTAATGGAAAAGAAAATGTGCAATACTTACATGTTATTAGCTTGACATTGACAAGCAAGTTTGCATTTAGGATAAAAGTTAATGGAGTAGGACCTCCTTCCCCAAGCAGCGAGGTGATCTTTTGGTGAGATGGATGTTCCTCCACCACGGGATCTAAATAAATTAACAATTTAGTTCAACACATCAGCCAGGGACCCAAACCAACCATTAGTTCATAGCATATGACACATTGTCCCACCCTCCTCCCTTAAGAGGGTGGTAGTTATTCCCAAATTTAGAATAGCTGCAGATCAACCATGAACAGCTCTAAGATTCGAGGAACATATAACACTGAAGTAGCAGCTTCTAACAAAAGTGCAAACTGGGGCTACCATTGCTTTGGAAACCACTAACTAAGTGTGTGTTCTGGCTCCTCATCCATGCACTGATACCGTCAGGTACCACTGGTGAGCATAGACACCACTATAATGTATTCAAATGACAAAGCATCCTTCTCATAACACATTGATCCTGTTAATAATGCGTGTTCAATTATCCAAGAATCCAGTACACAACAAATAAATGACAGTAGAATTGTATTAGAATACAAATTATATGCTCGTGAGTTCATATTTAGAAAACTTGCACTAGGTGATTTAAACTCTTCCCTGTGAGGAGGGAGGGTGGTGAGGCCCTGGCACAGGTTGCCAAGAGAAGCTGTAGCTGCCCCATTTCTGGAAGTGTCCAAGGCCAGGTTGGATGGGGCCTGGAGGAACCCAGGATAGTGGAAGGTGTCCCTGCCCATGGCAGAGGGTTGAAACAGATGGGCTTTAATGTCCCTTCCAACCCAAACTATTCTATGATTCCATGACTAAATATTAACAGTTTTCTCAGATTTTACCTTTTCCTTTTTCACCCACAGCCAGCAGAAGTGGTGGCAGGTTATCCCCATCAGGAACAAGGCTGATGTCTCTTCGCACACACTTTTCGACCCCACACAGTGCTCTGTAACTTGAAGGACTAACAGACACATCATGTGCAGCCTGATCCACTGCACTGCAACTGGTCTTGGCCTCTGCAGCAGGAGAACACTCTTCAGTTCCTAGAGTTACAGATTCATAACTAGGTACCAACTCACTCTGGCCCGAGACACGCTGCTGTGCGTTGTCTGAAGGAACAGAAGGATGTGATTCCTCTGTTCTTGTCATAATATCAATTTTTTCCTTCCATTTTTGATTTACATCAGTTAACATGTCATCTTCCTCTGGGTTTGCAGCCTATGAAGAAGAAATAACAAAAATTCTACACTGTCCCACAACCAGCTAAACTTTCATTATCTGCATTCTAGATGCAAAAAGAGAAAGAAAGCTATCACAAATGCTGAGAATGCATTTCCTCCTAACAAGAAGAAAGCCACCAAATCTCTCCTGGATCTTCTTTTTTTTTAATGTTTAGGCATTACATAGGTGAAGCTGCATCATTAATTTACTTGTTTGGCAACACAAACAGTTGTTCTAGCATAGACAGTCAGATTTGACACAATCAACACACTAGGTGCCCCTTCAGGAATCTGTCTGCTATTGGTGTTGCCACTCACAGCTACTGAGCATCCCTTGGATCAGCAGTTTAGTACTGCAAACATACTTCTACCCTCTATACCAATAGCTGATTTTACATCTGATTAATTTCGAGCTTGGAGTCAAATCTATGCTGCTTCCCAGTGAGATGGGTGTGACAAGCTGTTATAGGCTATAAATCCCAGGAGTGGAATTTTTCTTCCCCTGCTCTGCTGTGGGAAGAATGGAGTTAGAATAGGGAAGGGGGAAGGGAGTCGATTAGCTTTACAAAAAGTGTAGCCAGCACGGCCGCATTCCTAGCTAATGGCCCATCGAAGGCTGGAGTGAGGGAGGGGGAAGGAGTTTGGGCTGGCCCGGCTCACGGGGGGTTGCTGGCTGCCCTCACACAGGACAGGTCAGACTGCTGAGCTCTCTCTCTGGGACGGAGACGGGGGTCTGCGTGGGTGCATTTGGAGAAAAGGCCTAGAGGTCTGTTTTTCTGGCTTCTCGCCCTGGTGAAGTCGGATCACTGGTCTCGGCTGGCTTTGCACAGTGCCTCGTGACTCCAGCCGGAGCCTACTGTGTTTTCATCGGAGAGCTCTGTGCCCACTGAGGGAGAGAGAAGAGGAGCCTTGAGACACCGTCATCTGGGAACAACAGTGAGTTCCGCTGGGGGTGGACTGCTTTCCTTTCCCCCTTTTCTTCCACTGGGGGAAGGGTCCCCATTTTCTCCTCAGCTTCTCCCACGATCCGAGACCCCCCCAGAGCCCCTTCCCTCATGGTGACCGCAGAGCCCGACAGCGCCCCCTGCAGGCCAACACCGAGCACTGCAGGCTCTGCTCCTCCAGTGACCCAACAGCGCCCCCTGCAGGCCACGGTGAGGATGCGCTGAAGGACAGAGAAGTGTTCAGGCTTTCTTTTGTTTGAAGGGGACTGCTGGGCACAGGACTGTTGGTTAGCTGGTTTTATGTTCTGTTACTGTTCTTGCCAACATACATGTATCTTTTAATAAAGGGTTGTTATTTCTTCTGTTTTTTCCACACTTCCTTGATTAAAGCCCCTTAATTTTTGAATTTACAATTGCTGAGAGAGAGAAGTTTGGTCTGTCTCATAACTCATCCTCTTTAGCAAACATTCCAGTCTCTTCAAACTGAGACACAAGCTGTGAACATGGGCACATCAGGATATCAGCTGTCATTAAAAAATAAAACAAGCAAAAGAAACCCTGAGAGGTGTACTATCAAGTACATTAGACCTGCATTCTATCTCCATAGGGAAGAACTTTATATTGCAACAAGGAAAACATCTGACAATTCTATGCTTGCCTGTAGGAGCTCTCCTGATGTCCCATCAACTTCCAGCAAATCCTCAGTTTATTGAATACACTACCAGAGAATAAAAAATAAAAGGACACCAACCCCCAAAGTACCACCCCACAAACATGCAGACAGAAACATGACTACACAGGCCAATAATAGACTTCTTCCCCAGGCATTTGCTTGCTGGTGTTTCATATCACTTGCATTTTTTGCCTTCATGGTCAGGATTTTGTGATACCTTTGCTTCACAGCTGCACTGTGGTGGTTTTGTTTGAGCTTCTGAGGCTGCTTACACCAACCATCAACCAATTGTATCTCACTCACTTTGTCCATGATGCTTTTAGTTTTAGACATTGCTCATATTTTGCAAGTGAAAATATCCTACTCTTTCCCCAAAATGTGAGACAGGCTATACCTGTCTAATCTAATTGCACTAATCTAATTACTGCAACTTCTTGGAGTCCTTACTTGTTCAAATGAATTCACATCTACTATTATTTGTTCTTCATGAATAAAAGCTGATTTACATGCTATGTACCTGGTAAGTGTCCAGATCCTCCATATAAAAATAATAATGATCTGGTCTGGGTTTTTACCAATGTATTTTAAAAACTCTTGAGTCCTGCGAGAATTACAGAATTTATATTATCACTTGAGACAGCGTGTTGGAGCTATGCTTATCTTAAAAAGGCTTCAGCTGCGGAACCTCTCCAAATCTTTCCACAGTAAACTTAGACCTCTTCTTTGGACTTTTTTTGTAAAGTGCAGCTAGTTCAACACCATGAATGTGATCCATGATAAAAAAAGCCAATCCCCCTCTCAGTTTAGTATTAGTTCACGTTAGAAACAATACACAGATTTTGCTGCACCCTATAATGGAGTATTCCAGGGCATTACACAAATTCTGGCTAGTCTAATCCAACTGGAAAACTACAGCAAACCACTGGGGAAAAAATAAAAAACAAAACCAAACACAAACTTCTGCTAGAAGCCTGTTGTTAGTGACAGGTTTAAGAACTGTCGTAGAAGTAATTAATCAAAGGTTGTGTACAAAAAAGACCAGTTTTGGAAAACTTTCTGCCATACCATTTTTGAACTTCACAGATATCCCAAACCAAACAAGGTTTTCCTTTGAAAGCCTTCCTTCAGTTTTCCTAGAAATGAAAATTACTACAGAGTTTTTCAATCCAAGGACTTCACAGCCACCTCCAAAAAAATACTCAAATACTATCCCAGATTCCAAAAGCAGAACTGTTATGGATGTAAGAGGCCCCATCAATAGCAGGCAGAGGTATTTAATAGGTAATTTATGCACATTCACACACTTCCACACTCATACCGTATGAGTCTCTGGCAAGTCAGGGTTCACTGGACTTAAGTCCTGCGACAACCTCTTGGCTCCAGAGGACAGTTTTGTCGTGTCTGCCACTTCACCATTGGGCAAAATACCATCTGCAAACCAGACCCTCCTCTGCTCTCTGGGGCACAGCCCTGGGAGAGGGTAAGAAAACAAAAACTGCATGTTATTGCACTGTTCCAATGCCTGAAAGGGATAAAAAGTAAGTCCCTTCTCCCACCAAATACATGGAGAATCTGTTTAGTGGAATTAAGTAGAAGTAGAGTTTGACACCAGCCAGCCTCCAGTCAGGCAAATACATGCAGAAAAATCTCCTACTTGGGAGCTACCGTGTTACAATTAAATCTATTAATCCATATCTAAGGAAGGCTACTTCCTCAATCATCCCACTGTACTAAGGTAAGAATGAAGTGCATATTACAGCTAAAAGATGAAATACACTTTGTTTAAAAATTTATTTCCATTGAAGAAGGTCAGATGTTTAATAAAAGTGGAACGAAGACACTACTGAGTCACTAATAATTTTTATTTACACAGACAATGAACCTCTACTGTTCCCTTTCAACTTGTCTCTAAACAGCTACTTCTTGTTTTTACTTTACTGTAAGACTGGCTGTCACAACACAAGCCAGAAATCTCCCAAGATACGTAAAAATTATAAAAGTTACACAAAAGATTTATAATAAAAAAGAGAAGGCAATGAAAAAAGCAACATCCACATTTCATAAACAGAGATTTAGGACCAACTTGGACCTGGCACCAAAACTAGGAAGTGAAAGTAACTGTCCAGTGTCCCATTCACAGAGTTTACATTTCCCACAAAAAACACCACCAAAAATGTATAAAAAATATACCAAGTACAAATCCAACATGCAATAAGTGACTCTTTCCAAAGAGACCCTGGAAGTGTTTGATCTATACTGTTTATAGCATCTGTACCTTCAATACCAGGTTGTTTAAGGGCTGAGATAGGCAACAATGCAGAAAGTGAAGGGGAGCTGGCACTACCAGGCATCTGGGCTTCTTCTACTGGTGGAACAGCAGAATGTTCAGAGGAGACACTGGAACTGGGAACAAGACCAGTTGGACTCATCATCCTTTCAAATGCCTGTGCTAAAAAAATGTGGTTAGTTTTTCAGATCTCTCAATTGATTAGATTTTATTTGCAGTGTGGTACTTTGGGTGGGGGTTTTTGGCAAAAGCAGTGCACAATTTGTGATCTGCACACTCAGACTATTGCAGGGAAGAAAATTTACATTTGTTTTCTGCCTGCATATTTGCCAGATTAGTTCTCATGACAGAAACTCCCTGTACCTCCTGGTACTGCTGCAGTGACCATATCTTGGTGCAAACACACTGATCACATTTATCAGGTCAAATTCCATTCAGGTGGCATATTAAAAATCTGACATGTTGCTATTTAAATATGAAACAACAGAACATCAGTGTTTTCTCCTGATGTTTCCATAAGAATCCATGCTTAGCTTCCAGCTAAGGAAAGGTTACCTGATGGTTCAATTACTGCAGTGCTGTTACGTGACTTGTAAAAACATTAGGACAGGAAGCTACATAAAATGGGCAAATAACATGTGAGAACAAGCAGGGACATGGCCTTTAAACACACAGAAGGCTACTGTGGGGGGAGGATCACTTTTGCTAGAATCCCTGTCACAGATGACCCAACAGTATAGCTTCATATTTAGTCCTACAGAGTTAAAAACTACTTTTTTTCTTTAATAAAAATCACCAATTTGCTACTTGAAGTTTAAAATAAGAACTGAAATCCAACAAGGAGGTACAATTATTCTCTTCATCCCTCCATCTCAGCAACAGGAAAGCATACACCAATTAAAGTAATCAAGCTCCCCCAAAAGGGCAAAGGTTAAAAGGATACTTTACTAGTTACTGTAATTACTCAAAGAAAACTTTTTACCTTTATTAATGTCATTGTAACAGCCAGTACAGACTCTTGCCTCCTTCTCCATGTACTGTAGTTTGCATTTTCGTTTGCAACAGCTACCACAAAAAACCTGAATCAGAAAAGGACTGGATTAAATATTATAGACATATTGTGTGGTCTACAATTACACAGGAATTAGAAAACTCTTCTGAGAAATACACTTGTTTCATTCTAAACCATCTGCAAACTTATATTCAAGCCAAGGGAAAAAAAAAAAAACAAACACAACAAGAACAAAACCCGCAATATGTTCACAACAAAAAGCAACAACATGGAGGACCCAAGTGGCATTATATAAAAATTCTTATCTGGAGTGATGAAAAGAATTTCAGGTTGCAATTCCTAAATTCACTCCTAGTTCCGTAACTATTTTACATTAAACAACAGCAACAAGGACTGAGCCCCAGAACTGGGGTCAGATTTGCTTTACTGCTTTAGAATCATCTCTGCAGCTGCACCAAATCTCTCCATAACACGTGTTACCAGTTTGCTATAAAATTACAAGCTGCGTCTTCCACCTCACGGATAACAACGTAAGCCAGAGCTTTCTGAGCTACTCACCGAGCCTGGCTCAGGTGCCATGTCAGCTAAGTAGGCTCTCCTACTCTCTCAGGAAGAATAAGCATCCTTCCCTTCATGTCACAAGCTCCCTTCAGCAGGGTATTTGAAAAGAAAGCTGCTTTGAAAGAACAGAATGTGCTCTTCTACTCCAAAAGCATATACGTCTTGTCTTGTCTATTTTTAAGCAGAGATGGGGAAAAAAGTGTGTCTCATTAGCTTGGACAACACCTGCACAATCCCCTTCAAAAAATTACGTCTTTACTAAAGCTGGGTCTTTGCAAGAGTTGACATAAATAACTAGAGCTTATGTTCTTTCAAGGGTGATCTGCAAGTTTTCCGAAGGTCACACCATTTTTAGCCATAAGCAGACTCTAGAGTATCAGCCTTACAAAAAGTCCTCTGAAACCTTGATCTGATAGAACCCTTCTACCACTGACCAGAGTTCAGTACGTGGAAAGAACATTCAAAGTCTTCTCTACTCCTGATTACTTCCGGGAAAACAAAGTGGATCAATTGGAAAACAAACAAACAAACCAAAAACAGTGGTGACAGAGAAAAAAAATCAAGTTATTACAAGTGAACTCGTTTAAGTAGGAAAGGTCACTATAAAATCAGTAATAATTGATAGATGCAATCTGAGCTGAAAAAAGAAACTATTTCAAGTGCTTCTGCATTAGTGCCCCAGGTAATTTACCTCAACTGAAAACACACATGCTCAGTACAGATACTAATAGAGTAACTGATTAATCGCTAATCAGTCACAATCCATTTTAGGGCTTCAAATGCTAAGGCAGCACAATCCTCTGCAATGGGGATTCTCCTCATACCCTTGGTGACACTGGGACCCACAGAGGATTGCAGGAAGATTAATCCTAATGCATCTAAAAGGTGAAGACAAACTAGGGACAGGGGAAAGGAGGTAAAGATGGGGCTGCTGAGTGAAGGAATTGATCCTGGTTGAGCTAGGAAGGATACCACAACAAGAGACAAACACCTCAGTAAAGGAACTGCAAAACTGTTTGGCCTCACAAGTGCTGCTGTTGAGAGAGAAAGTGTGGCCCACTAACCTCTCACTTCCCTCCAGCACAGAGGCCAGAATCCGTGAGTGTTGCCACGTTCATTGGTAAAAAAGGATGCAGGATAATAGGAATGTATAAAACTGTCTTCTAGAATAGGCCACACAGGACAACTGTGAATTCCTACCAGTTTTTTCCTTATATCCCAAGTGGCTGATAACACAATACCACACAACAGCTTCACAAGGAATGTTTGTTTTTTTCTAAGACAAACAGTTACTATTAAAAAGACAAAAAGTCTGCCTAAAAGTTAAACTATTGCACATTCAGAAAAGCTATGCCAGAGTTACAACTGCATAGCACTGCAGTATCTGCAAGGTATAGATAACCTATACTGCCTTCACTTGCTCTCCTAATGAACACAGATTGCAATGCTCCCTCTAACTACATTGTTGTTCTGCCAAAAGCCCCTCAGCTAACGCACCTACAGCTGTAAACAGGGTGTGCAGTGAAGGGTCTTCCATCCCCATCTCCAAACAAGGTGCAAGGAACTTCACAGTAAAATGTAAAACAGGAACCTAAAATCGGTCAGTCTCATGACAAAACAAAACCCACTCCAAAGAACTGCATTTTAAACCATCACAGAACATCAACAGCATATTCTGGCAGTAAGTTCAATGAGTTCTAGGTTGGCATAATGAGTTCTTCCTTATCTTGGCACTCAAGATTCAGACCTACATTTTACTTCACACCTACTGCAATTGAAATAAATGAGTACCAAGCTTTGAACACACAGTGCTAGGAGAGAGGTGGGAAAAAACCTACCAAGCCTCTCCAGATGCTTCTTAGCACCAGGGATGCAAAAAGTTAATACTGATACTAGTCTTTGCTCTATCTCCTCATCCCTAAATCTTACAGAGCAACACTGAACGATAAGTTCATTAGTATTGGCAGTATTTCCATTTATGCATCACTACAAGTGTAAGCCACAACAGCTCACAAAGGAATTCTGAATTAAGGATAAGGTGTGGCATCATTTACTCACTGCAGAAGACCATAGGTTGAAAAAAGTTCTACAACTACTTGCTTTCTTGGTGAGTCACATATCTTCCCCTGAGACGACTTTCCTGGAAAATTATACATCTAAACATGCAGGAGGACAGATTTAGGCTATAAATCCTTTACACTTGTACTACTGTTACAGCTCCTGAAAGACTGCAATCCTTTCAAGTTCACGGACAGTGCTTTACAGATAGTATAATCACTTACCTGAATTCTCAGCATCACCTCAATTTTTTAAAACTTAGAAACTTTACTTAAAAGCTGAGCAAAAAGCTGATTCACTATGATTACTATGAAGTAGTCCATCATCTCATCTCCCTATGCAAAACACTAGACAAGCCAGCATTGAAAGATAAAGAATATTCTTTGTCCTTCCCTTTAATTAGAATTTTCACAAAAAATATGACAAGATACCAGTCTTGTTCAACAGTCTTTAAGTTTCTATGACGGGAAAATGAAAATTATCTTTTGTTAAATAAATACTTTGAGCATAGAAAAACTGTGTCAATCTTCTTTCCCTCCTGTGCTTTGGTTATCCCTAAATCAGAATCCATTTCCTTTCAGCAGCACAGGACCCCTCTCCCATAACTCACCTTCCCACAAGCTCGGCAGTGGTGTCGTCTCTTTGTGAACGTGAACTTCACTTGGCAGTTCATGCAGTTGGGGGCCTCTGAATCAGGGACCCACAGTGGCTGTTTCCACAGCAGAGCTGCAGGTGTTTTAAGTGACTCTGTGTTTTCAGATGTTTGGTTTCCTCCAGTTTCAGAGATGCCTTCCCCAGGGTCAGAGTTCTTACTAACACTTACACTGCTGCCTGAGAGGGGAACTTCTGGGGTAACAGAACCATGTTCCTGGTTTTCTCTCTCAAGTACATTTGTTTTGTTCAGTTGTTTCTGACCAGCAGCAGCTTGGGAAAGGCCAAGCAACTGCTTTGGTCTTGCACCTTCAGTAGGAACATCAGAAGCCAAAGCTTCCCTACCACTCTCAGTTACGTCCTGACCATGAGATACATTATCTTCTGCTGCAGCTTCCAAATAGCTGGCAGAAAGAGATACTTTAACATTACTATTAATGCTCATTGTCTCCTCCAGCTTTGCTTGCATAAGTTCTTCAGTGACCTCTGTGAAATCCAGGTTGTTCACATCTGTTACATTCCCTTCATCTGCATTATTTTCTATTAAGTTACTATCATTGTCTGAAGACTTAAACACCTTGGACTGCAGACTTTGTCCATACAAGAAATCATCAAGCTCACTGTCGCTGACTAGAATATCACTTTTAATAGCACTCTCCTCCACAGTAAGGTCAGCCACAACTGGGCTCATACTTTCATCATAGAAGCTGTCCACACCTACATCATATGGCTCAACCTCAAGGTCTAGAAAAGCAGAAGCAAAAGCTTCAATTTCCTGAGAGTCACCACCATCAATTACACTCTGAGCATTGCACTGCACTCCATCCTCACTGTTTTCCACAATGCTTTTGCTGATTTCAGCTAAATATTCTTCCTGCTCATGCCAGTCAGTATTTTCACAGGATTCCCTGCCAGAGGGATCAGTTTTAGATGCTCCAGAATGAACAGCTACAGTACCACTAATAACCTCTGCCACTGCATTCTGAGGTAGAGGATTAACCTTTTCTTCTCTTACAACTAATGAGCTGCACATGGACACAGGGAGACATGACAGAGAGGTCTGGACATCCTCAGCTGAAATACGCAAACTGGAAACACTCCTTAGTGTCTCACTGCTGTTAAGTTCTTCACTACATACATTCTCTTCTGTGATTTTCTCTTCCAGTTGTACTTCAGCTCCTGTTTGACATGAGGAGCCTGGTGCAACACAAATTCCAGGTAATGTTGCATGGGTTTTGTGCACCTGATGCCTCTTGAGCAGATCTGAAAGTATGGATACAGCATTACTCCCATCTTTTGGGTCTCCCTTTCCTATGACATTTCTTCCATGCATCTCTTTGCTTACTGCAGAACATGCACTATCATCTTGTGATTCACAAAGCAGTTTTTCACAAGCTTTCTCATCTTTGGGACCATTTGCATTTGAATTCTGTGTTATTACAGGGACACATTCAATATCAAGGTGAGCAGCTTGTTCAGGCTGATCAAGTACTTCACTGCACTTTACAGGTTCTGTCCTGTGTTGATCATCACATGAATCCAAGATCTCTCCTGTAGTGTAACTGTCTGATTTTAAAGCTAAATGATTCATTTCCTCTGTTGTAAGACACCCTGAATCTTGAAGCATTGAGTCCCCATCACTCTGCTCTGTGCTGGAAGCATCCCTGCAACCAGATGATGACACACAAATAGGAACAGGTATGCAAGACAGGCCAAAGCCAATTGACCCTTGGCTGCACTGGAAGTCAGCTGGCTGCGACTTGTGAGAACCTTGGTGAGCATGGATTAAATCAGCCGTGTCATTAACAAGATCACACACAGGTATGCCACACCTTCCCAGGCTGGAAGCCTCCATTTCATTTAAGGAACCACTGTCCACAGTGGACAGAAGATCAGGTCCAGCAACACTCTGCTCCTGCGGTGGTGACTCACTGAGCAGCACGCCCCTTGTCCCAGCGTGGCTAACGAGAGGGGTCTTCTCTGGGGAAGGGCAGCTGTCAGCATCCTCTGGCAGCTCTGGTGCTGGGAATGCATGTTGTAAGCACCCCAGGACTGAGAGGAGGGAACAGTGCTTTGAGTCACATGGGTTTTGAGGTGTTCTGAAGCAGTCATATTCATCTGTGTTAAGAAAGATCAAAGCAAAGTTTGTAAGACTCTTCTCCTTCCACACTGTATTCCCTCTAGATCCCATCTATTCATCCATCCATACTTAGTATATGCTATTTTCAAATTCCATGGTAACAGCCATTTGACCACTTGGAGAACAAGCCAGTGCAGGAACCAACCTGTGTTCTGCTCGAATTCATCGAGCAACTTGTCCAAGTCACACACTGCAGCTTTGAAGTAACTGTCCATTCTAGTCTCAGTTCGAGTGAAGCTTTACCCTTCTTAAACCTACAAAGAACAACAACAGCATCTCATTCACAGTAATTTGATGTCTACAAAGCCCAAGTGTTAGTATCAGAAGACAACTTCTGGAAGGTACTTTTTTTTTATTAATATCATCTTCTTTCCTCCAGGTAAACAAAACCTAAGTACAAACAGGGTGGCAGCCCCTGTGTACTTTGAATATGCTCTACAGATAGTGTACCCAGCACACTATGAACAATACACCCAAAAATCCACTTTAAATCACAAAATTGAGGCTCCCTTATAAAAAACAAGTGCATCTGAAAGCATGTACTATGGCATTACAACGTCAGCAAGTTTAAAACCAGAAGGCGTATTAGGATCTTCTAGTTTGTCTCCATATACATTTTATACCACAGTTCCCAGGCAAAAAACAAAATAGACCATTATTACCCTTCAAGATGACTGAACTAAATAAATAATAATAAAAATTAAAAATCCAGCATGGTAATTCAGCTTATCATTTCTATTCTACTCAAAAAACAAAAACAAATGAAATTCTGAGACCCCAAGAACATAAAACACTTTTTTTAGACTTACCAGTTCATCAGAAAGCTACTTGTTAATCAATCACATTCCACACTGCAAAACACCCTGGTTCATTTGCTTAATGAACCTTTCCAGCCACTCAATTTTATGCCTTTTTGGTCACTCTGAATTGCTTCCTAAGTCCACATCTATTTTCATGGCTAAACGCTCACATGGTTCAACTCTGTATAAATAAAATCAATATTTACACTTCCTTTGAGCAAACTGAAGGGACTCAGATCCATTCAGTCTAATGTCTGTAAACTACACCTGTGGAGGTCTCTCTAGTTTTCCTTCTACTTTTATCAGTGCATTCAATCTCTGCACTGGCTGACTTCACTTCCCACCCCAATTCAATTTATTTTGACCATCTAGTAATGCTGCTTCTAAAAGCTTAGAGACCAAACAAATACTCAAATTCACTCACATCACTTATGCCACACTGCAGCTACAGATTCACACTCTATACCTTAACTTCCTTTGTTGAGGTGTAAGGTTTCCCTTCAGTGAATCCTTCAGATCAGGTGCGTTCACTTACATCAATATGGAATTATTCACCACATTAATGTGCATGTGACAAGAATACTTTAAGGCAATGTGCAGTTCAAACAGATTTGCAAGGCATAAGGAAGGTGAAATAAATAGTATGCAGCAGGGCAGCATTTTGTGCCTGTGCATAAACCAGAAGTGAACAATCTGAATATGCTATTCTTTTGATATCCACTTGCATTCATTTGTCACAGCAAAGGTCTTCACACTACACCATAACCCAGGTCTCTCACAGCTGTCTAGAGGGCATCAAGCAGAAGAGATATATACTTAATGCCACTTCTCCTCACTCATCTGAATGCAGCCCTTGCCTGAACAATCACCCCATTTCGCAACCTCCTGGTAACTGGATGCCTTACAACTTGACCTGGAAGTAATTTCAATTAAGAGATTTACAAGATTAACAGCTTTTGATGGTCCACTGAGAGACATCGAAGTACAGATAACAGATACCTTAATGACACCAGAATTTATAAAAAAACCCTTTCATAATTCAAAAAAAATACAGAGGAGAGGTAAGTAATTATTGCATCTATCTTTATCTTACACTTTAAAAGACTTAAATTCATTGTTTTGCACTCTTGAGTGGCACAAATTCTGAATTAAGCACAAGTGCATTATCAGATTACAATGCTAAATAGGTAGATTAGGATGCATTTGTGTTGTCCAGCATTGGCCCACTGACCTCTGAAAAAGGAAAGAACTCAAAGAACTGTAGAACTGAAATCATATGCAAATATTTTCATCTACTTAATACAGAGTAAATCACTTCTACACCCAGCTCAGGAAATTATCACATCTCAGTCTACTGACCCAATAATGTAGTTACATTTTATTAAATCTGGTTTTGAAATAGAATAGTTCCATTTGACTTAATATAGCATTTTGAGTAATTAACCTGACTTTGAATAACTAGCATATTATTCCTGTAATTTCACTACTCTTTCTTGAAGTTTTTGATAGGTTTTCAGCTTTTCTACAACAGATCTACAATAAAAGAAACCCAAATTGTACAATAAAATCAAAACCTTTCAAAAAAGGGCAGACTAGATCACCATAAAGTATTCTTTTAAGAATCATACTCCTAACAACAGAATTATACTTCTAATTATCAGAAATCAGGAGCACCACCACTATATATGGTTTTAAGTAGACAGAACTATTGTCTTCCAAACATGTTTTCTACAGCTCTGAATCCACTCACTAGACAATCTCCAAACTGGTTCACAGATTAGCATTTTTTAGAAATAAGCTATTAAAACTTAATGCTTATAACTTTATCTGAGGCATTAAGCCTCAGATAAGCTTATAACATTATCTAAGGCAACAGTGTAGGGAAACATACAAGTTCAGGCTCTCACCAGCTCCGTTTTATAGACTTTTTTTTTCAAAGTAGAAGTAACTTTTAATCAATATTTAAATAACTTTCTGTTAAAGACTACATGCTTTGAGATTAAGATAAATTAAATATTTATGTGCAAGGAGACTTGAAGCCTAAACATCAGTCCATCACAAAAAGGGAAAATAATAATAAAAGCATAAAATGTACTAAAAAAAAAAAGCACCCTGGACTTGTCACTTATGCACGTAAATGTTTCGTGTGTGTCTGAACTGATTCCTCTCAGGTCTCTGACACATGGTCTGGAACACTCCTAACACAGCACTTCAAACTGCACACAGAACTACCCCACGGAACAGAGGCAATAACTCTGCCACATTAAAACTGTAACGATCTCCAGAGCTCAGAACCAACATTCCACTGGGGATTTCTCAACACACTCTCATTTAAAGGAGAAGATAGCACAAAGCTGCTGGGATACCGAGTGGCCAGGTAACAGGATGGATGTCAGGGGTTTGTTTTTACAGATAAACTCTCTAAATGGAGGTAGTTAGCTGTTTTCAATGCTGATAACTTGTAAACCAGAACAAGTAAGTTAATTATTACCAACTAACCAGTTCAAGGTCTGAAGATAAGCTGCCTTTTGGAAATTAGGAATTCCTGAGAACCACTCTCTGTAGTGTCAGCACACATGGGCATTACCAGATCTCCAGTTTGCCAAAGCTGATCTCCCCTGCAGAGGCCAGGCCTGCTTATGCATGGAACTTCTAAAACAACACAGATTTAGAGACAGAGAAACTCACACACAGGGGCACACAGGTCTGCAGAGAGCTCACCACAGGAGCCACCTCAATTCTGGTCACCAGGGAAGTCTTTCCACTCACTGCTAAGTCACATTACTTCAGCTCCATCACTGTGTTTAATCATTACACTTAGCCTGAGCAGAAAGCTGTATTAATACTGTTATCCTCAGGATTGAAGTGGATTTTTCCAGCAACTACCACAACTAGAACAAAGCCTCTGATATAAATGCAACCACCAAGTTCACAGTGCTCCAGGAGGGAGGAGCTCATGGAGCACAGGGTGCCTCTTCTCCCACCTTCAGGGTATTTAAAGACTTAATCACCAGCTTTATTCTTCTCAGCCTCTTCTCAGCCCCTTCCCACACCCCAACACCTCAACCCACCCACAGGCTTGAGGCCCTACAGACAAAACATCTAAGCTTACAACTGCCCATGGAGCTCACCAACAACCAACCTGATGGAGAAGTTCAGCACAACTGAACAAACGTTGTGTAGAAAACACAAATAAAAACTAAAATTATTCTTGCTGAGCAAGACAATTTACTATCCATCCCAAAAGCTCCAGCTGCTGTTGCCTCAGCTTTATCAGGGGGTGAAGACAAAAGTTGCAGAAGTTTTCAGACATATAAGGAAAAAAATACGTGGCACACTACAAAAAACTGTCGTGCTCGAAGAGCAACATTCTGTTAGTTCAACACAGACTTCTTAGAAGGACAGAACTCCTTCAGCACCACTGTGACAGCTCTATCCCAACATCACCTTCAGCTCCTGGGGATTCTCTTTCATTCATACACCCAAAGAAATTTGCCCCCCGAACTCAAAACAGCATCACTCACACCACAGAGAGAATCACAGATTCCAGAACAGCCAGGTTTGGAAGGGACCTCTGGAGATCACCCAGTCCAACCCCCGCCCAGGCAGGGTTATCCAGAGCAGGTGACACAGGAATATGTCCAGGTGGGTCTGGGATGTCTCCAGACAGGGAGACTCCACACTTCCCCGGGCAGCTGTTCCAGGCTCTGTCACCTCCACGGAAAGAAGTTCTGCCTCATGTTGACGGAGAACTTCTTGTGTTTATTTTATGGCAATTGCTCCTTGTCCTGTCGCTGGGCACCACTAAACAGAGTCTGGGACCATCCTGACATCCCTTGGAGATATTTGTGTGGATTGATAGGACCCCCTCTCAGTTGTCTCCTCTCCAGACTAACCAGGCCCAGCTCACACAGTCTCTGCTCACCAGGGAGATGCTCCAGATCCCTCATCACCTCCGTGGCCTCTGTTGAACCCTCTCTGGCAGGTCCTTGTCTTTCTTATCCTGAGGAGCCCAGATCTGGACACAATGCAGCAGGTTCAGAAAGCAGTTATGGACTGTCAGTAGTCCTTCAGTGCCACCAGCAGTAGCCAATCCACCAGTGAGGAATCCACGGGCTCAGCTGCACAGACACAGCCCCCACACACTGCCCAGGGCACCACCCCCACCACCTGCCAGTTATTATCTCATAGTTATTGTGAGCACTTATTACTCAGCCTTAGAAAATGAGCCATGAGAATGGGATTGCACCAGGCCTGGCACATTCCTTCAGCATTCCCATCTCCTGTGATTTACACTGTTAATGAGCAGATGCTCGTGAGACAGCCCTGGCACTGAGTGGGGTGCTCTGCTGGACCCAGACCCTGCTCCATAGAAATACAGAATGTCTGGCAACCTTTTAATGCCTGGAAGTGTAGGGGTAAGATTGTCCATTACGCTTTATATACCCTATATAATCATCTCTTTCTATTATACTCTATATACTGTATAAATCTACCCTATATATACTCTATATAACCTATATGATACTCTCTCTCTCTCTATATATATATTATATTCTATCTACCCTATATATATCCTACATAATACTGTCTGTATATATATCATACTCTATACACCGTATATAACAGCCTCCATATTATTCACTACATAGCCTACATAACACTCTCTCTATATATTATACTCTACATATCCTATATATACTCTATATACCTTATATATAAATAAGCGGAAGAGCAGTAAGCAAAAACACCACCGATACGCTCAAACCTCCGGGGGCAGTTAACCCACTGAAGCAGCTTCAGATGGCACTGCGCCGTGTCCCTCCTCACCGGCGGCTCAGGGCCGTGTCGGCTCAGGGCCGTGTCGGCTCAGGGCCGTGTCGGCTCAGGGCCGTGTCTTCCTCAGGGCCGTGTCTCCTCAGGGCCGCCCCGGCCGGCCGGCGGCTCCGGCCCTACTCCGTGAGCGCTGCGCATGCGCGGGTACGAAAGGCGTGATGTCACCGTGACCAGCTGTGCCCACCCTGCGCGTGCGCAGCGGCGCCACAGCCACTGGGGCGGAGCCGACGCGAGGGGGCGTGACCGGCGTGTGTGACTGACAGCGCGGGGGATGGAGGCTGGGGAGGGGGCGGGGCCGGCAGTGTGATTGACGGGGCAGTCACCCCTGCGCGCGCTCCCGGCCCCGCCGTCGCTGGCCGTCACACGGCAGCTCCGTGCGGGGACAGCTCTGCTGTCCGTGAGCACCCCGCCGGTCATCGTGGCGTTCACACCCCCTCACCTCGCGGTGACGGCACTCCCGCTCCGTCAGCTCCTTGCCGGCTCTCGTGATGTCACACACCCCCCAAGCCGTGGTGACGTGGATGCGTCAGAGAGTCAGAAACGATTAACAGTTTGTCCAGAGAGTTAGGGGGAATGAGAGGGTGTTGCTGGGTCAGGATCCTGCCTGATTGCTGCAAAACGTGGAATGTGTCAAAGTTTTGCTGAGAAAGGATGTTCTGTGGTTGATCTATATAACTTTCAAGCCCAAGAAGCAAGAGAGGCCCTTCTTGCCCTTGTTAAGGTTTAGGACTGGATGTGTCTCAGTGATCTGAGCCCTGGGCTTGGGGGAAGGATTTCCACTAAGAGTGGGCACAGGGAATGCAGTATTTATGGTCCACAAGGACAGAACTCCCAAGATGAAGAAGGAAGTAACAAAGGCAGCTCAGGACCTGGACTGAATCAGCTGCCACTGGATACAGGGTGATTACAGTAGGGGCAGGGTGTGACCGCTGAACCCAGAAACTGCCCAACCCAAAGGAAGAGAGTGACTGAGCATGGGATCAATTAGCATGAGAAGTGATAGAGTCACTAACCAACAGAATATAAAATATAACTATAAGGAAAGAGTGATTTGGCATTGGAATGGGCTGCCCAGAGAGGTGGTGGGGTCACCATCCCTGGAGGCGTTTAAGAAGAGACTGGATGTGGCACTCAGTGCCATGGTCTGTTGACAATGTGGTGTTGGGTCATAGGTTGGACTCGGTGATCTCAGAGGTCTTTTCCAAACTAATTGAGTCTCTAATTAATTCTGTAATTAATAAGACAACTATGTAACTTGTAGCCCATGGACATTAGCCCTTTGTTTGCTGAAGTGTATAAACATCAAAAGATTTTGACAGTCGGGATGCTGGATTTGTGGAAACATCCACCTTCCACTCTGTGCAGAATAAACAATATCTCCTTTCTAAACCTGACTCTGTGTGTTTAGACACAATTGGCCCTCTCACCCCATCAGCCCCCCTCATCCTCATGACAGCACATGCCCACCCCACAGTGACACCACTCTTGCTCTGTCACCATGTAGGGCTGGGGAAGGGCAGGGGAGAGCTCAGGAAGCCCACAGATGCTCCATCCAGTTTTAAATCACCATTAAATTGACCAACCCTTTCCCTCTCAGCACAGCCATGGTCAATGGGCCCATCACAGCAGTGATGCAATCACAGGGCGGCTTCTGGTGCTTCCACAAAGTGTTTCTTTTTTACCAAATCCACTGTCAGCCCCACTGTTCCCCTGGCACCACCCAAGGGCCAGGACAGTGACTTTTGCAGGGAGTTTTCTAGATTTCTGTGTGTTTCTGTGCTAGGAACTGAGGGGACACTGTTCTTGGGAGGGGGGCTGTGGCAGCAAGTGTAAGTGAGGCCTGACAGCCCCTTCCCTTCATCCTGTCCCAAAACATCCTCCTTCGACTCCATGGCATGTGCCAACATGTAGCTGACCTTTCTCTGGTGGGCCAGGGACAACTCCTTGTCATTCGCCTCGGGGTTGTTGAACACAGAAAGAAGAGAAAGACATTCATCATCTCACAACAAGGCACTGTTTGTAAACCGACGGCTGCATGTGCTCCCCCAAGGGTTTGTGATGAACAAAATACTGACCAAATCTATAAACATCTTCAGGATCTTGAGGGGATTGTCCAGCGCCTCAACCATCCTGCAGGCCCCACCCAATGAGAGCAAGCTGGACACGCTCTAAGGAAAACAAAAGTACATGAACTGTGGAATTCATGGTAATTAGTTTTTAAACAGTAAGTAGCCTGAAAAAACCCAAAGATTCTCTGACACAGGCCATTTGTAAGATTTCTAAAAATATTAAAATATGTTAAAATTTTGGGGCATATGCACCAGGTTACAGAGCTTGAAAGCAATGATGTTGCTATAGCAGAAGTCAGGGTGTTTGTTCTTGTAGTACCGCATCCCTAGAGTGCTCAAGGAATCTGGGAGACCCCCAAACTTCTAATCCTGGCAGCTCCAGCTCAATTACCAATACAAATATATCCTGATGTCTCATTCCTAAATTCTACGATGGTTTTGACCAGGACATGAGAACTTAACCCTTTTTTTAAAGAATAAAAGGATTTGTTCTGTTTTACAGATTCGAATTCTTCCTCTTTTACAGAGGGCTTTATAACTCTGTTACATATAAAGTGTAAGAATAATAATAAAAAGCAAAATGAAAAGCTAGAAATGTTTTTAAAAAAACCAAAACAACAACAAAACCCCCTATAGACAACAAAAAAAAACCACTAAAAAAATCCCCCAGAAACCTTAAAGTTCATCCAGTCCCACCCCCTTCCACTAGACCAGGCTGCTCAATGCCCCATCCAGGCTAAAAAATCCCAGTATCTATATATTTATATATATTTTTTCATTTTTCCTCCTTCCCTAATTCTTTCATAGAGCTCATTTGCAAAGAATAACACCCAGAACGTAAGCTGCTGGTGACATTTAAAATGGTCAGTTCTTGTCTTTTCTCTGCTGTTGTTATAACAAATATCTTTAATATCCAGAATATTATTGTCATCCCATGTAACAGCTTATTTCTTCCAGCATGTTTTCAGTCAGGTAGTAGAGTTCATGCATGTGTAATTTAAAACAGGGTGCTGTAAAGGCCTGGACTGGGTGCTCCAGTGTCCTACAGGACCTGTATATTCCATTTACACACATGCACACTCTGCATT